CCAGATTTCATGGCGCCTCTTCTTATTTCATTACGTCCCTGGCCCCCCCGCTGGGCCGCGCACATGCCGCCGGCCATGATGTGCACCCCCCCCTCTTGGACACCTCCCTCTTGGCCGCTCCCGATCTCGGGGGCCCCCTACAGGGCGTTTGGGAGGCGTGCGGCCCGCTTTTTGCGCCTCTTGGGGGCATCTTGGAGGCCCCATGAACAGGGCCATCAAGTCTCCCCGAATCTCATGGCCCCACCCCCCTCCTTCTTTCAGCAGGCGTCCCTTTACCCCCCCGTGGTCCGCCCACATGCCTGCGGCCCGGATTTTTTCGAACTCCCCTCGTGGCCGCCTCCGAGGCCCAGTCAGAGGGCAACGCACGCCGGTGGACGGAGTTCTGGCTTCCTGGCCGCACCGCGAAAAGTGGCACCGCCCGTGCAACTCGGGCCCCCGAGGCATCACTGATTTGCGGGGGCGAGCCCCATTTTGGGCACCGCGGGAAGCTGCCTGAGATTTTCCGATGCTGTGGCATGGTGTTCTGCAAGTTTCCAGTTGTCTGAGGTTGGTTCCTCGGTGTGATCGTTTTTTTTGTTAATTGTATGTTCTACGTCAGTTGTCGGTCGGAATTTGTGGGATGCTTTGGGGTTTTGGAGCGTTTCTCAGAGGGCAGATTTACCGTTTTGCGTTTCGGAGGTTTCGGTGGGTGTCGAGAGGTTGTAGGAGATTGAGACGCTGTTTCGAGAGTTTGTTCGTCGGAGGCCACGTTGGTTTCTGGAGAGATGGGCAGGATCGAGGAGGAGAAGGAGGAGGGAGGGGGAGGACGAGGAGGAAAGGGGGAGGGGTCCAATGACAGAGTATGGACGAGAGAGGAATGGAGAATGGGGACACATGAAGATGGGGCGTTGAACAAATGAGAAGGGATCAGGTTGGAAAGGATGCGAGGGAAGAGAGGTGAGGAGGAGGACGGGGATGAATAGGAAGGTCAATGCCGCCAAGCTCCCCCCTCCTCTCCATCCCGCTGCTCCCTCCCGCCATCCCCGCTCCCCTCTCCTCATGCTCACCCTCCTCCTGCCAGGGCCTTCTCACTGCGCCCCCTCCCTCCCTCCCTGCCCTCCTCCCTGCCCACCGCCCCCCCCCTCCCCCCCCTGGCGCCAGGGCCCCAGAGGCGAGGACGAGGAGGAGGAGGAAGAGGAGAAGGAGGAGGAGGAGGAGGAGGAGGAGGGGACAGGCTGAGATGGAGGGAGGTCTCTGCCGGCGCAAAGGGGCCGTCACCGCCCGCGGCGGGCCTTTCGCAGGCCGCAGGGCATCGGCCACCCGCCGGGGGGAGAAGAGGATTGACGACGACGACGACGACGACGACGACGACGACGACGACGACGACGACGACGACGACGACGACGACAACGAGGCCGACGACGACGACGTGGACCACTAGGGGGGGAGCGAAGAGGAAGAGGGGGGAGCACTCAAGCAGTGGCGAAGCGCCCTGGCTTGAAAATGGGCCCACCAGAGAATGCCCTTAGAGCCTTGTGTGGTTTGCACACGAGATGTCCTTGGAACGTTCCTGGCTGAGATTGCCTTGTTTTAACGTGCATCGGGTCGATGTTCTGAGAAGCCTTCGTGGCAGGCCCTCGGGAATGCCGGGACGGTCGGTCCCCGCTCAAGGCACGGCACGGGCCGCGGGCAGGGGCGGCTGGGCGGGGGGGGACGGGTGGCGTGTTGTCGCATCGTGGGTGTTTCCCTCCCACCTCCTCCTCCTCCTCCTCCTTCTCCCCCTCCTCCTCCTCCTCCTTCTCCTCCTTCTCCTCCTCCTCCTCATCCCCCCTCCCTCAAGCAGTGGCGAAGCGTGCTGGCTCGCCTACAGGCCTACCAGAGAATATTCTAAGAACCGCTGGTGGTTTCCACGAGATGTTCTCAGAACATGTCTGGCCGGGACTGCCTTGTTTTCACACGTCGGGCTCATGTTCTAAGAGCATGTGTTTTGCTCTTGGAGCACTTCGGGGTTCTGAGAACAGGTCCTGGTAGACCTATAGGAATGCCGAGACGGTCGCTCCCTGCTCGGCTCCCTCCTCCGCGAGTTCCCCGCCGGACGCAGGACGCTCGGGCCGTTCCAGCTGGAGTTCTCGCGCTACCCCGGCCGCCGCATGTCGCCCTCGGGGGCCCTGGAGGTGCAGGCTCACCTGCCGCACCCACCACCGGGCGATCCTTCTCCGCTTGTGCTCCTCTTGCTGCTGCTCCTCCTATCCTTAAGTCGGGCCGGTCCTCCCTCCACAGGAGGAAGATTCAAAATTGGTAGAATAAATAGTCTGGGGACGATGCTTCGACTGTTGTTTTGATTATGCTTGATTTCTGTTCAGAGTCCTCCTCCTCCTCCTCCTCCACCTCCTCCTCCTCTCGACGTTCCTTGTCACGTGCCCTAGAGTCCTACAGTGCTCCTCCTCCTCCACCTCCTCCTCGTTTTCCTCAGCCTCTCCTGCCCCCCCCCGCCACGCTCCCGCCGCCCGCCCACCCCTCTTCCGCCCTCGCCATCGCGACCCCGCCCCAGAGGGGTGGGCGGACTTCGGCAGCTCCCCGGCGGGGCCGTTCGGGCGCGACTCGTCGTGGAGCTTGTCCCCCGTGCCGCAGGCGGGCGGAATCCGGGGCGGAGGAGGAAGGGAGCAGGAGGAGGCGGAGGAGGAGGAGGAGGAGGAGGAGGACGAGGAGGAGGAGGAGGAGGAGGAGGAGGAGGGGGGGGAGGAGGAGGGGGGGGAGTGGAGGGGGAGGAGGAGGAGGAGGAGGGAGGAGGGGGGGGGGAGGGAGGGAGGGAGGAGGGAGGAGGAGGAGGAGGAGGGAGAAGAAGAAGGAGGAGGATGAGGAGTAGTAGGAGGAGGAGTAGCAGGGGGAGGAGGGGGGAATCTGTGGCGGATGAGTATCGGGAGGCAGAGCGCGGGGGGGGGAGACAAACAGGGGGTGGGACGGGAGGAACAGGTGGGAAAGCGAAAGCGAGGAGGGGAAACGAGGAGGGGCGGAACGCAAGAAGGAGCTGGAAAACGGTGGTTCGCATCAGCGCTTGGCGAGCGGAGAAGCACGTTGGCAGATGACGGGCGGGGAGGGGGTAGTTTCAATTGAAGTTTTGGGGAAGGCAGATGAACGCACACATCGGACATGCATGATAGTGATGATGCTCATGTGCAAGAATGTATTGGGGAGCAGGATGAGGCAGGAAGATGACGAGGTGCAGGCGGAAGGGAAACCGTCGAAGAGGCGCAACATCAGGATGGAGTGGATGGTTGGGACAAAAGGGGGGGGGCACTGGAGGAGGAGCATCAGTCTCAGCAGGACGGCGATGGTTCGTTTTAACGGTCGAGCTCGGGACCCCCTTCCGTATTTGGTGTAGTTTGCTTCCGACCCCGGAAACAGCCAACCCGCGACGCACCCACATTGTTAGAACGGCAAGTTCGGGGCCGGCGGCGGGCTCATTGTATGATTTGTAGCACGTAGTTTTTTGCGGCGGGCTTCTTCAGAGCCTCGCACAGGGCCGACGCCCCCTGCGACACTATCACTCTTATCCGCGTGCCACGTGTGTGCAACTATGTCTACATTTACATGTATACATATTTACATTAATATATATATATATGTCTATACATATATGTCTGATTGTACACATATTTATATAAGCATACATATATATATATGTATATATATATATATATGTGTATATGTATGTATGTATATATATATATGTATATACATACATATGTATTTTGTCGTGCGTTCGATATTGGAATCCTCTTGGCCCTGGGGCCCTCTTACGGCTTCGTGGGGGTCAGGGCCACCCATGGGTGGATGGTTCCAAGCGGCAGCGTGGGCTCCCCCTTTGGGGTGGGTCCTTTTCGGGCCGTCGAGGGGTACTCAGAGACTCATGGGACCCTCCTGTGGGCCGTCTTGGGGCTAAGGGGGCCTCCTAGGCCGTCTTGTTCGCCCTTCAAAAGACCGAAACGCATATCGTGAAGTTGGACGAGCATCAGGTCGTTCAATATATTTGGCCGCTTGTCAGGAAAGCAGGCTCTTCCAGCTTTGTCCTGGTCCTTGGTCCCTTCCCTCCTCTCTCCTCTTCCTCGGATTTGCACTGCAAATTCTTCCGCTGCACTGCTTCGAACGCAGTGTCTTCGCCCACGCGCTTCATGGCGTATGCCTGGTCATTATGTTTGTTTTTGTTGGGGGCACTTGAGCCGCCCCTCAGGGCTTCAAGGCAGCCCAAGAGGCCCTCTTCAAGGCTCCGTGATGGAGCCTCGGGCGTATCCCAGGGCATGTGGGAGCGCAGTCCTCCAGCCACGCTCCCGAGGCCCTGGAAACAGTCCTGCGGGGGAGCCCCTGGAGCTCCCAAGACCGCCTGCAGGTTCCCTTGGTTGGAGGTCTACGTACAGCAGTTGGACCCTGCACTAATGACTCTGTCTGGAGCCTCATCGTCTTCCTCGCAAGGCGGAGGATAGAGTGATCAGAAGGGAGGAGGAGGAGGAGGAGGAGGAGGAGGAGGAGGAGGAGGAGGAGGAGAGGAGGAGGAGGGAGGAGGAGGACGAGGACGAGGGAGGAGGAGGAGGCCAGGAGGAGGAGGCCCTCCCAGTGCGCTCGCTTGGCCAGCTTTTTGTCGAGCGGCTCGCAGTTCCTTTCGGGGGTGGACAGGGCCCCCACTCCTCCTCCTCCTCCTCCTCCTCCTCCACCTCGCAGTTCCTTGTTCCTCCTCCTCCTCCTCCTCCTCCTCCTCCTCCACCTCCTCCTCTCAGCGGTGGACAGTCCCCCCACCCTGACACGTCGATTCGTGAATTGTCGGTTTTTTGTTTCTCGAGAGGGCGCCGCGGCCATCGTTTCCCAGGCTCGCGCCCGCCAGGCTTCGGGCCCGAGGCCGTGCTCACTATAGACCACGTGTTTCCTCTGAAGGGGGGTTCTGTCCATCCCCCCGATGCCTGCTGCTCCACCACAAAGCTGTGATGGCTCGAGCCCGATGGGGTTGAGGGCGCGAGCATTGGGCGGGGATGGGGCGACCTCGGGGTGCCTGGCGCAGGTCGAGGAGCCAAGCCAACCACCCCCCAGCTTGATGTCTCATGGGTCGCGCGGATCTCCTGGGCCGGCGCTGGTTTCCCCCGACGCCCCCTTGGGCACCTGGCGCGCGGGGCGCCCCCTTGGGCGACGTTGGAGGCGCCCTCAGGGGACGAGGGCAGGGGGGCCCAGCGAGGACCCGGGAACTCCGCGCGGACCTCGCAAAAGCATACATACACATACACACGTATCTTTAGACATACTTACACATGCATATTCATATATATATATACATAAATACACAAGACTGCAGTGGCGCTTCGCGCCATGCACCTTGGTCTTTGAAATTTGGTATGTAGGCGGAATAGCAGGAAGGTCAAGCCGACAATTTAGCGATAATTCCTCCAGGATCGCCCCGAGACGGCCAACGAGGAGCCCAGGAAAGCCCCACTACAGCCCCGGAGGGGCCCAAGGGAGGCCCAAGAAGCCCCCAAGACGGCCCAGTAGACTCCCATGAGGATCCCAAGACGGCCCAACAAGCTCCCGAGAGGCCCCCAAGACAGGCCAAGAGGGCCCCGAGCCTGCCCACGAGGACCCCAAGACGGCCCTAGATGCTGTCAAGATGGCCCCAGAGGGCCTCACGCGCCCCAAAAGAGCCCCAGGAGGACCCCCAAGAGGGCTTGAAGAAGCGAAAATCATCAATTACACGTTGGGTGTCGATCGTGCACCGCAGCTTGCTGGCATTTGCGCGCCGGAGACAGAAGCGCGCGTCGGCAAGCCTCGACTCAAGCAGCTCCGCGTTATATATACATATATATATATATATACACGTATAGATATGTGTACAGATTTGTGTGATTATACATACATATATATATACTAGAACCACGCGCGCGCTTCGCGCTCGCTTAGGTTCTAGCTAGGAGGCGAGCTTGAGTCAACGAAAGTCGCAGGGAAGGGGGCAGGGGGAAGAAGGCCAGAGAGCGCTGAAGGATACAAATACTGGAACCCTCTTGTGATTTTGTGGGGGGCCTCGTCCGGCCGCTCGCTGGGAGTTTGACGTAGCTTCTCGGGAGCCTCTGAACCTGTCGGGGGCCTCCTGGAAGCAGGTTCGAAGCATTTGGGGGCCGATTTGGGGCTTCTCGGGGCCTCCTTTGGGCCTCTTGGGGGTCTCCTGGGGCCTCTTGAGGGGCCTCCTTGGGGCCTCCTGGCGGCCTCTTGGGGCGGAAGGCTCGAGCTTGCGGTTCGTGGTCCCCCTCTGGGCCCCCTCTTGGGCCCGTCTTGGGGCCCTCTTGGGCCATCTTGGGCGCCTCTTGGGCCGTCTTGGGGCCCTCTTGGGCTGTCCTGGGGCCCTCTTGGAAGCTTCTTGGGCCGTCTTGGGGCGGTCTTGGAGGCCTCTTGGGCCGTCTTGGACGCGGTGAAAGCCCAAGATGCGAACATGCGAAAAATATACGTTTTCCCATAGGAATGGCACGATTTTTGTTTCTTGGACCTCTCTTGGGGTGCCTCTCGGAACGTCTTGGGCTGATTTTGGAAGCCTTTTGGCGCCTCTGGGCGGCGTTTTGGCGCCTCCTGGGATATGTTGGGCCGGAAGCTCGGAATTCGAGAGTGGCTTTCTCCTTCTGGGACCCCTCTCGAAGTCGTCTTGGGGTTCTCTTGGGCCGTCTTGGGGCCGTCCTGAGCCACTCGTGCGCAGCCTTGGAGCGCTCCCGGAGGCCTCCTAGGCCGTCTTGGAGGCCTCTTGGGCCGTCTTGGACGCGGTGAAAGCCCAAGATGCGAACATGCGAAACATATACGTTTTCCCATAGGGATGGCACGATTTTCGTTTCTTGGACCTCTCTTGGGGTGCCTCTCGGAACGTCTTGGGGTGCTTTTGGGAGCCTTTTGGCGCCTCTTGGCGGCATTTTGGCGCCTCCTGGAGCCTCTTGGGCCGGAAGCTCGGAATTCGAGGTTGGCTTTCTCCGTCTGGGACCCCTCTCGAACTCGTCTTGGGGCTCTCTTCGGCCGTCTTGGGGCCGTCCTGGGCCACTCGTGCGCAGCCTTGGAGCGCTCCCGGAGGCCTCGTAGACCGTCTTGGGCGCCTCTTGGGCCGTCTTGGACGCGGTGAAAGCCCAAGAGGCGAACATGCGAAAAATATACGTTTTCCCATAGGGATGGCACGATTTTTGCTTCTTGGGCCTCTCTTGGGCTGCCTCTCGGAGCGTCTTGGAGGCTTCTGGGACCTTCTTGGTGTCATGACAGGCGTCTTGGAAGGCATCTGGAGCCATCGGAGCGCGTTACGAAGCCGCCTGCGAACGATCTTGGACGGCGTCCGGCGGTCCGACGAGCCTCCGGGCCCCCCGGAGCCCACATTTGTGGTCGAGGTCCCGGCCCCGGGCCCCCGGACCCGGTGCGCCGTTATATGCATATATACAGTGGGAGCCCATACCAAGAAACACCAAACGTTTGGCCAGGGTGCGCTGTGTTTCTCTGTTTTGTGTTCGGGTTGAAGGTTCGCAGCGGTCGCAAAGAAGCCGCAATTGCCAGGGTATCCCGAGTGTCTTGACGCAGGGATGCTTTGCGCGAGCCATGAATAAACCGCCTGTCCCAGGTTACTTTCAGTTATTCGCTGGTGGCCGCCCAGCATGAAACCCAACCCTGGCCCCAGACACTGTCGCGATGTTCAGGATGGGGCTTCTTGCGATGTGCTTCTTGTGGAGTGGTCTTGGCTGTGCACATACATATATATCCGAGGTGAGGGGGTGAGATCGAAGTGGAACGGAGAGCCCCCCTACCGGGAAATCGGTTTTGGTTTCGTGTTCGTGCGTGCCGTGCGTGCGGGCGAGGCGAAGCTGCGTGGGCGGGCGAGAAGAAAGTCTCCTCCGGCTGAGGCGAGGCCAGAACAAATGTTTCCTGTCCGGGGGCCGGTGGGGAGCGGTGTCCCGCCGGTGTCCTGCCTCCGGCTGAGGCGCGGCCGGACCAAATGTTTCTTGTCCGGGGGCCGGTGGGGCGCGGTGTCCCGCCGATGTCCCTCCGGTGTCCCGTCGGTGTTCCGATGATGACGATGATGATGATGATGATGATGATGATGATGATGATGACGATGATGATGATGATGATGATGATGATGATATCGTTGATGTTGATGATGATGATGATGAGGAGGAGGATGATGGTGTTGGTGGTGATGACGATGATGTCCCGATGATGATGATGATGATGATGATGATGATGATGCTGCTGATGATGATGATGATGATGATGATTACGATGTTGATGATGATGATGGCGATGATGATGGCCATGGTGGTGATGACCATGGTGTCCCGATGATGATGATGATGATGATGATGATGATGATGATGATGATGATGATGTTGATGATTCTGATGTTGCTGATGATGATGGTGTCCCGATGATGCTGTTGGTGATCCTGATGATGTTGATGATGATGATGATGAGATGATGGGGTGATGCTGATGATGATGCTGAAGCTGATGATGATGGTGCCCCGATGATGATGGTGATGATGATGTTGATGATGATGTTGTTGGACATGTTGATGGTGATGTTGGTGATCGTGTCCCGATGAGGATGCTGTCGATTATGCTGATGATGACGATGATGGTGTCCCGATGAGGATGTTGTTGTTGATGATGATGATGAGGTGATGATGATGATTTTGATGATGGTGGCCCGATGATGATGATGATGCTGAGGTTGATGATGATGATGGTTCCCCGATGATAATGAACATGCTGATGATGATGGTTATGCTAATTATGGTAACGATGATGATGGTGTCCCGATGATGATGCGGATGATGTTGATCATGGTGATGTTGCAGATGATGATGTTGTCCCGATGATGATGATATTGATGATGCTGTTCATGAAATGATGATGATGGTGTCCCGATGATGATGCTGTTGATGATGCTGGTGGTGACGATGATGGTGTCCCGATGATGATGATGGTGGTGATGATGAAAATGAGACTGATGATTTTGATGATGATGGTGATTAGGTGATGATGATTATGGTGTCCCGGTATTGATGAGAAGGTTGATGCCGATGACGTTGATGACGATGATATTGCTGATGATGATGACTTGGATTGTGAGATCGAGTGTGATTTCATTTGTGAGATCGATCGTGAGACCGAATGTGAGATCGATTGTGAGATCGATAGTGAGATCGGTAATGAGATCGATCGTGAGATCGATCGTCAGATCGATTGTGAGATCGATCGAATGAAATAGATCGAGTGATATCGATTGTGACATCGATTGAGTGGGATCGATCGAGCGAGACTGATAGTGATATCGATAGTGATGTCGATGGTGGGACCGATCGAGTAAGACGTTGGTTCCTCCCCCCCCGAACCTCCTTATCACCCGAAGGGTGGTCGTATAGGTACATACAGACAGACAGACAGACAGACAGAAAGACAGACAGATAGGCAGACAGACAGACAAACAGACATACACATATCGGAGGTGAGAGGGTGAGATCGAAGCGGAACGGAGAGTCCCCCTACTGGGAAATCAGTGTCGGTTTCGTGTTCGTGCGTGCCGTGCGTGCGGGCGAGGCGAAGCTGCGTGGGCGGGCGAGAAGAAAGTCTCTTCGGGCTGAGGCGCGGCCGGATCAAATGTTTCCTGTCCGGGGGCCGGTGGCGCGCGGTGTCCCGCCGATGTCCCGCCTCGGGCTGAGGCGCGGCCGGACCAAATGTTTCCTGTCCAGGGGCCGGTGGCGCGCGGTGTCCCGCGGGTGTCCCGCCAGTGTCCCGTCGGTGTCCTGATGATGATGATGATGATGATGATGATGATGATGATGATGATGATGATGATGATGTCGATGATGTTGATGATGATGATGATGGTGATGGTGGTGAAGATGACTGTGTCCCCATGATGATGAAGATGATGATGATGTTGACGATGTTGTTGATGATGATTGTGATTATGGTGATGATGATGATGATGATGATGATGATGTCCCGATGATGATGATGATGTTGATGATGATGATGTTGCTTCTGATGACGGTGTACCGATGATGTTGACGGTGATGTTGTTGATAATCCTGTTGACGTGGGTGATGATATGATGCTGCGATGATGGTGATGACGAAGATGATGATGATGGTGTCCCGATGATGATGAAGTGCGTTTATTATGTTGATAATGATTATGGTTATGATGATGGTGCCCCGATGATGATGTTGATGGCGTTGATGATGATGATTACGATGGTGGTGTCCCGATGATGGTGATGTTTATGATGAGGACGATGATGGGGTGATGATGATGATTTTGAGGATTGTGACCTGATGATGGTGATTGTGATGATGCTGATGTTGATGATGATGATGATGATGGTTGTGCCCCGATGATGATGATGATGATGTGATGATGATGGTGACGATGATGATGGTTTCCCGATTATGATGATGTTGATGTTTATGTTGTAAATGATGATGGTACCCCGGTGATGATGATGTTGTTCATCATGCTGATGAGATGATGATGATGATGATGATGATGGTGATGGTGCTGCTCCGATGATTATGATGATGATGGTATCCCGATGATGATGTTGATGATGATGAGTGAGACGATGATGGTGTCCCGATGATTATGGTGGTGATGATGAGGATGATGGTGTTGATGATGGTGGCGATGGGGTGGTGATGATGATGATGCTCCGATGATGATGATGATGATGGTGATGATGACGAATATGTTGATGATGTTGATTATTTGTGAGATCGATAGTCAGATCGATTGTGAGACCGATCGAATGAAATCGAGTGATATCGATTGTGAGATCGATCGAGTGAGATCCATCGAGCGAGACCGATAGTGATATCGATCGTGAGATCGATCGGGAGACCGATCGAGTGAGACGTTGGTTCCTCCCCCCTCCCGAACCTGCTTATCACCCGAAGGGTGGTCGTATGGGGGCCAAGGCTGGCGGCCTCAAGGACAATTTCCAGGCCTGCTTGCTGGTTGCAGGCGTCCCGGGCCTCTCCGGGACGGCCAACGAAAAAGAGGCCGACACGGCTTCACAACGACCCCAGAAACAAACGTCCAGGACAGTCCAGGAGGCCCCCGAGACGGCCCACCACGATGGCTCAAGATGGCCAAGGCTTCCGAGTGTGTGTGTGTGTGTGTGTGTCCAAGAGTGCCCAAGAAGTCGTCAAGAGGCCCCCAACGAGGCGCCCGAGGGGCTAGCGTAGTTCAAACACTTGAGAGAAAGCAGCGCTTTGTGCGTGTGTTCTTGTGATTATTGACGCTTCGCGTATCCCCACCAGCCGACTCTGCGACAGTCAGTCGCCGCCACCGGGAATAATGCGATGATAGTGGCGAGTCGCAGGGTGAGGGGCAGGGAGAAGACAGAGAGGACTTTGCCTGCCGTCCAAAACAACCCGCTGGCAGCACGACCCCTGAGAACACCCAGCCGCCTCGGATTCCAACAGATCCGTCGTGTTTTTTTGCAAGACGTTGGATCTCTAGGGACGCGCGCGGTCTCGAGGTGGCCCGTGTCCTTTTCTTGGCCCTCTGCCAGGTCCGCCGGCCCAGCCGTCGTCGTCGCCGTAGGCCTCCTGTGGGCGCGGCCCACCGACCGCGCGGGGAGCGACGCGGCCTGGCGTGCGGCGTGGCCGCGGCACCTCCCGGGGGGGGGCCCAGGGTGGCCAATGTCCCACCACCACCGCCACGGCTAGGAGGGGGGAGGAGGGAGGCTGGGGAGGTCGTACTCCTCTTTCTCCTCCCCATCCCCCTCCTCCTCCTCTTCCTCCTCCTCCTCTTCCTCCTCCTCCTCCCCATCCCCCTCCTCTCTCCTCCTCCTCCTCCTCCTCCTCCTCCTCCTCCTCCTCCTCCTCTCCTCATCCTCATCTCTCCTCCTCACCTCCTCCTCCTCCTCCTCCTCCTCCTCCTCCTCCTCCCCCTCCCCTTCCCCCTCCTCATCCTCCTCCTCTTCCTCATCCTCATCCTCATACCCATCCTCATCCTCATCCTTTTCCTCCCTCTCCTGCCCATGTTGGTGGAGGTGGTGGAGAATCGGCCCGTCATTCCAGGGGGGGGGGCGCCGCTCCCCCAGACCCAGGGAGGGAAGGGGCAGGGCTCATTTCGATTCATCCGGGTCGATTCGTTTCGAGGTCGATTCTAACCCGATTCGACGCACGATTTTGGTTCGGATTCCGGATTCTCTATGGTGGCCTGCTCGCTTGCCGCCTTCCGCAGGTGCGATTTCTCCTGGCTTGTCTGCCGATGTCCGCCGATCCGATCCGATTCATTTCGATCGCCGATCCGGCGCAACGATTTGATTCTGGGCTCTCCCGACGGGACGGTTCGAGCCTCGAGGATCAGGCGTCGATGGGCGAGGTTTTTGGGGCGCGTTCCGCCCAGCGCTTTCTCGTTGCCACCGCTGGTTTCCCTGGGTGCTCCTCCAAGCTCCTGACAAACAGCACACGGTGTCAGGTCCAGGGGTCGACGTTTTCCCTCGATCCGAGACCCCTTCGCGGTGTGAACAAGCATCACGCCCAGACGTTTGGCCAGTTTCGGACTCTGGGGGCCCATCCCGGCCCCGAGGCAGAACAAAAACGGCTTGGGCTGAAACACGGGACCAGGCAAAGTTCGAGGTCTCCAGGGACTCACGTCGCGAAAGTATCACGACATCGGGGGTGTAGGATTGTGGGTGCGCGCCAGCACAAAGGCCTGGACAGGCCAGTGCTTCACATGAGAAAGACACCGCTGCCGCCAGACCTCCCATCGAAATTTCGACCGCGAACTTCGACCCTTGGAGGTCCATTTCCCATATCGGGCCATGGGACTGTTAGAACATCGATCCAGGAGGAGCAGAATTATCAGGGTTCGAGCCCAGGAGGGGTCCAGGGGGCGACTTCGAGCGGATTCGTGCATCAGCGAAGAACGCACACATCGATGCTGATGGCCCTCGTTCGTCATCCAGGCCTTTTTCGACCAAGAGTGGCTGCTACAGCCGCGGCAGCATCCCGATGATTAACGTGAGGTTTGTAAGGAGGGGGTAGGATGTCCTGTGCGCTTATCTTTCGTGATGCGGGAAGTCCCTTGGATGCCGAAGCCCGCGAAGTGTATATGTTGTAAGACTCTGATTGCTTATTATGTGTTTGTATTTTCCCTTGCCCAGGCTTGACAAGCGACGGAGAGGCCACCTGCGCCTCTCATTGTCGCGCGCCGGGCGTCGTATCTTTCAGTCAATTCCCCAGCCCATAGAGGCTGCCTGTCGGCAAGGATTTCACAACCATTGAGGCGCATAAGCAGCAAGCACCCGTGCCGCTCGCGCCTGCGAAATCCTTGCCTCTGCCGATTTCTGCGTTTGCTTTGCCTGGGCTCGCCAGGAGAGAAGAGGCTAGGCTAGTTTTGTTGTTGTTGTTGTTGTTGTTGTTGTTGTTGTTGTTGTTGTTGTTGTTGTTGTTGTTGTTGTTGTTGTTGTTGTTGTTGTTGTTGTTATCTCTCTCTCTCTCTGTCTCTCTTTGCTTGCTGGCATGGGATGATCCCTGGCGCTTTCTCTATGGGGCGACATTTTGTATCTTCTCCCGTCAATGCTGTCTGACTGCGAGGCTTCCCAAGCATGATGGCGCAATTGAAGCAAGCGCCCGCGCCGCTTGCGCGTGGGAAACCTCTTGCAGCTCTGATTTGCCATTCTCCCCTGCCCTGGCTCGCGAAGAGATAAAATGCTCTATCGCCGCCTGGGATGAGGGTTGGACTAGTGTAGGACGATGCCCCAGGGCAGGCGAGGTAACGACTTCCGGTGGGCCAGGACTGGGGCAATCAAATTGCCGCCAGGCGTTCCAGGCATCATTTTATATATTTCGGGCCCTCGCTGTTTCGCGGCCCCTTTCTTTCGGTCGTGCCCCTCCGTTCGTTTGTCCGTGGTTCTCGGGGCCGTCCTGCGTTTTCTTTCGACATCTCGGGCCCTTCCGTCGCGCGTCGGCTACGAGCGAGAGTTATTGTTCCGACGATAGCCCGAGGATGCATTTATTTAAAGACATAGAATCAACAAATCATTCTCCCCCGCCTCTTCGTCCTCCCCCCCCTCCTTGCCGCCGCCCCCCCTCCCGAGGATTCTGGCAGCGGCGGCGGCCCCCGATATCGGTCGTCACCCAGCGCCCGCCCTTCTCCGCGCGCGTGCCATGTTCGGCCATTGACGCACGAGGCGAGATGCGCGAGGGGCCTGTGGGCTCATCACGCGTAGCCTCGCCCGAATCTCCCTTTTGCAATCCATTGCCTCTACGCGCGGCAGGCAGAACAATGGAGATTGCCAAGGAGGCTGACTGCGCGATCCGGATAATGCCTGGCCCGTGCATTCGTGAATGGGAAGGGGGGGCCTACCGCGCTGAAGACTTAGGAGGGACATATACTGCAGTGCACTTCGGGTGGATACGTGCACCATGCAGCGATTCTAGTGCAGGAGTCTGCGTAGTACTTGGTCGCCGACTTCGAGCTGAAAATCAGCAGTCCATCGTCTCTGGCCCCTCGAGCGCTCCGGGTCGGTTTGGGGAACTACGAATCAAATTCGGGCTCTTGGACATTACAGCCATCTGCGCCTGCTCCCCGCCCATCTACGCCGACGGCAAAAAGAAGAAGGCCCAAGTGACGGCCGCCACTACAGTTATGAAATATGTTCGAGAACGCGTCGAAAGGCGTCGAGCTCGCAGCACCCCGACCACCGGCATGGGCATCAATTCTGTCTTTTGAATCAGGGGGATGGAACTTAGATAGACCCTGATCAGAACCATTTGGGACCTTGTACATGTAAAAAAGAACGGACCTTCTGTGGAGACTGTTGTCGAATATGCTGCTCGATCTCGACCTCATGGCCCCTGGAAGTTATTCGGCGCAGTCGGGGCCCACCAACCGTGGACCTCGGGGAGATCAATCGACTCTGGACATATTCGCTACCCCGAAAGGCTTGGGCCCTGGCGCGAAACACTGCCGCGTCGCATGGGGGGCAGGTCGCACGCTGCAGAACGCGAGGTGCGGGGCCAAACCTTTTTCTTCACCGGCTGCGTCGAGAACGACCAACACACTGGTCAGTTTTATGATAGATGGGCCGAGGTGGCGCAGCGCGTCGGACACACATTCTGCCATGCCCGATCGCCCCGTGGATACTGGTTCGCGAGAGGCGCGCGCCGACTTGAGCTGCCGAGTTCTGCTCCATCTACGGCCACCGTCGCAGCTGCGGTGATGCCCCTTTGGACTGCTTGCGACAAATTCGACGGATACCTAATGAACTTCGTAGATGGGCGCGACGGCGTCCAGCGCTACATCGAGAACGGCTACGCCGGGGGCCTCGAACGGCTCGAGCAGCTGGCCAGCATGCGGAAGTACACAAGCTGGCTCGACTCTGGTCTGGGCGATCTACTGGTGTGGATAATCCACGCTATAACACGATCACCTCATGTCGGCCGACCTTGCAGGAACTCAAAACTCAGTTATCTCACAGAGGCGCCGATGGAGGCATGGGGGCGACATTTATACCTAAGTTTGATGCGATGGTTTCTTTTTTTTTTCTTCTCACGGAAGAGGCGACCATTAAGATGGGAAGTTCCAGCATGGAGGGGTCTACAGAAGATATGCTACACACTATGATCTGGAGGCTTTGCAGAGCACGCGGGCGAGGATGCGGCCCTTCCTGGGGCGCCCATGCCGAACATGCGCTTGCCGCGCTGGAGCCGAGCCATCTTTCTCGCCAGAAGAAGCCGAAGTTTGGAATCGAGTACGGCGGCTCGGGCAACATGCAGTCACCCGACGAGCCCGACGAGCGCCCAGGCTCGGGCGTTCATTGCGACCCCGGGCCTGGGAGGCCATTGCCACCGACGCCAGCTGGACCTTCACTGCATCGCTGGGGCTTCCAGGGTCGAGACCCTTTTGGCGACCTGGCGGACGGGGCACTCAATTCCAAGTTTGGACGTGAAGATGGACCTCCAACGGCAACATCTCAAGGGTTACCTACATCGGCGACTCCTTCGAGGCAGTTGAACCTGACCAACCAGACACCTAGAGCACGCGACGGGCGAGACAATGCGCCGAAGTCTACTTCGAAGCTCGGGGCCCGGAAAGAATTTGAGAGCACCGCGATGAGATCTTCGGGTTGGCCAACTTCCGACGGAGTCACGCATTACAGGAGGAGTCTTATTGGATAATCAAACGGCAAGGCCCAGATGCTGAATCAACGCGCTGTACATGTATCTGATGTTTTCTGGAGGCACTGGCGCGCAGTCTTGCATGGTCACGGGGGCAGGGGTGAACAGTTTGATCGGTCTTTTCATGGCCATTGGCACGGTTTTCTGAAGCGTCGAAGGAGGGGGGGGGCTGTCTTAGCCCAGCTCCGAGTTGGCTGGTCCCTGGGGATTTCCAAGGCCCCGAACGTGTGCGAATTATGAGACAGGACGAACGCTTTGGCGTGCCCTCGTGCTAACGACCTCCTCATTCAACGTGAGGGCATGGCCCGCGAGGACCTCCATAATTACGCGCCCCAGCGTTTGATCAATTGTGTCGTCAGAGAATCCATCGACAACAAGTTCGGGGCCTTTGCACGTGAGAATGAGGGGGGGGGGGGGGGGGGGGGGGGGTCCTGTGAGGCGCCGAGGCAACTTGCAGGCGCATTTGATAGTGCTACAACGAGATCCACGAGGCCAGCGGGACCCCGTTTATATTTACAGCGCTCTGCGGACACCTCTCCTCTATGGTAGGTTTTGCTGATGATAGATCTCGCCGTCGGCTTTTACAGGGCTCTTCGGTTTCAGGGGCGCTGGGTGCCATTCGACTTGGAGACGAACGCATGCATAACATCCTGGGCAGTGGCATTTCCGCCAAAACATGCAGAGACAAGACATCATTCCCTGTTTGGGATCACGCACCTTGAACGCGCGTCTCCAGGAGAGCTGCCCCAGCATCTGCGGCGCGGCACGCGCGCGCGCGGAACATCTAGGAGCGCGCCGCCACATGCGCGGCTCCAGCGCCACCGAGCTGGAGTTTCAAAGTCTAGCGCAACATGCAGGCTGGTCAGTGGTAGGCCTATCTTGGCACGAGCGAGGCTCGCGACGTTTGAAGCGTGAGCTGTTCCTGGGCAAAGTAGTGGAGAGTGGCACCACAGGTCTGGAGGCTTTCGCTCTGTCTCCCACCGAGCACGAGCAGATTGATTCGTGTGTCGTCCAGTATTTGTGAGTTCTGATGAGAGGTGCTGCGGCTTTCCACGACGGCTCTCGCACTCTCTCTCTCTCTCTCTCTCTCTCTCTCTCTCTCTCTCTCTCTCTCTTCGGAATTCAGAGGTGTTGTGCAGATGGCGCATTTTCTCTTGCAGTGGGGAACTGGCCGCGCGCCGGATCAAATGGCTACAGAGCATGCTTTTGCACCGGCACGCACGCTGCCAGACTGTCGCGGCGATGTTTGGCAATTTCTCGGACGAGGCCCCCACTTTGCAGGATTTGGCGGCTCAGTGACGCAGCCAATCCGTGGGCAAAAACCTTGGCCAGCACCTCCAGCACTTCAGAGGGGTCAGCGGGGCCGAGAGTTTTTCGAAGTCTTGGAATATAATGGTTCCCCCTTGAAGGCGCTCTTCGACCCCGAATCCGACTCCCCCCGTGATTTCTTCGACTTGGACCCCTATTCTCAGGGCCGCTTCGTTTACGGAGCATGATAAATGGCGTTCGTTATTTCCAGAAGTACGCTGTCCTGAAACAAAGAGCATAAGCATATTCACATGTATGATCGAGGACTCGCTGGGCTCCCATGCGGTCTCCAGCATGGTACTTATCGGGCACAACCGGACACCAGACACATTGACATCGCGTACAATATATATATATATATATATATATTACATAGCGGGGTTAATTCAAATCAATGCCCCAACCGACTCAGTACCTTTCGGGATGTGGACAACACTCGGAAACATATTCAACAAACTTACGGCTATGGACGTTGTGCCATGGGTCGCGCTCGTACGTCTTGGGAACCCAAACGGCTGGACGAATGGACATGCCCGATATGCCCTGAGACCTCCGTAGCGTTTGCATCAAATCTTGAATTGTTTCGGCATCTTCGGGAATCTGACCTGCCACGCCCTCTTCCGCGGCCACAGCATGCCGGCTTGTCCCGAGGCCCCCGAAGGATCTACGGCGAAGTCCGAGGCCCCCGACGTGTCACGCGGCAGCGACAAAGAACCGAATAATAATAATAAGAAGAAGAAGACAGAGGGACTGGGCAATGCAGCGGGAGCATCGGTCGCACTCCAAAAAATCGACGATCCCACTCGCAAACTACTCTGTCACCTAATAAAGCAGCTGCTAAAAGTGAGTCAGCAAGGGTGAGATTTAGCAGGGATCGTACTCGACGCGTTCATTTTCCCAGCCACATGCGTGCTGATCACCATGATGAGCGAGCAGACCTTCCTCTACGCGCAGGCCGTGAAGGAAGCAGGCAGGGACCGCGAGCTCGGCCCACCGCTCATCTTTGCAATGGGTGGACTGGACTGCTCAGGGGACTGGCGTCCCTAGGAGAAGCGATCGGTGCGCAGAACGCTCAACAAGTATCGAGAAGCTTCAGGGAGCACGGAGAATACTCAGTCGACACGAAGTGCGAGCTCCTCCTATTCTGTCACCGAGACAAAGTATACCACAAGGAGCAGCGCCGCTTGAAGATAGCCTGTCGAGGCCCGGCGTTTCGGCACCTACTGGTCAGCTCGATGATGCAGATCCCCAACTTGAAGCGCAAGCGCGGCCGAGCTCCAGCAGCCCATATGGAGAGGGAGATTCAGCAGTTGATCGAGACATTATTGAATTAAGGGTGGAGGACACAACCCAGGCAGGTTATTTTTTGTATGCATCTTGGGACATTGATGACGACCTACAAATAGTACGTTTGCCAGATGGTACTCCACCTTGGACTCAGGCACCGCGCGGGAGTTTCCTAAGGAGTACGGAGGATAAGAATGGGTCGTGTGCCGCTGCTGCTGATTACCCTCCACCTCCACTACCTCATCATCAGCAGCTAAACACGCTTGAGGCTGCTGATTTGTTTACGTGTTTCTCCCCCTCCTCCGCCACCTCCCCCCGCTCGTCCTTCGGATGCCCACATAGCCACGGAGTGCTTCGTATCGTGCGGGGTTTTCACAGGGACCGCTGAATTCGAGACACTTCCAAGAGTAGGCACATTTGAGCATAGCTACCCCGTAGTGGCTACCTCATGCGTCGGTGCTCCTCCTCGGGACCCGAGCTGCGGCCCTAGTGCATAGAGCATGGCATATGCACTTTCCGTTTAAAGTCAGAGGTTCACCGTGCCAGAGGCCATTCGAAATTCTGCGAAATATCGCGAGTTACGATTGCGCTAGTTTACGAGTTATAGTTTGAGTGTTGAGGAACTCACTATAACAGAAACAACGTTGGCGCTGAAGGTGTGCGAATCGAATCGAGTCCTCCTCCTCTTCCTCTTCCCCCTCCTCCTCCCCCTCCTCCTCCCCCGCCTTTTCCTCCCCAACCTCCCCTTCCTTCTCCTCCCCCTCCTCCTCCACCTCCTCCTCTTCCTCCTCCGAACCCTCCTTCTAACCCTCCTCCTAATCCTCCTCCTCCACGTCCTCCTCCACGTCTTCCTCCTCCTCCTCCTCCTCCTCCTCCTCCACCTCCTCCACCCCCACCCCTCCTCCTCCTCCTCCCCCTCCTCCTTCCCTCCTTCCCCCTCCTCCTCCTCCCCCCGCTCCTGCTCCTCCCCCTCCGCATCCCCCCTCTCCCCCCTTCCTGGCGTCCACCCAGGCCCGCCCGCGCGCCCGGCAGTCCCGGGGATGCCGCCCGCGTGGTCGGCAGGGCGAGGCCGCCGCGGCGCGCCCCGGGCCAGCGGCGTACCCTGCGGAGAGCCAGGGGCGGCGAGGAGCTGCGGCCGTTGCACAGGTCGACGGGCGCAGGGGAAGGGCAGGGACGATACAGGGGAAAGGGGAGGAGGAGGAGGAGGAGGAGGAGGAGGAGGAGATTGAGGAGGAGTGGGAGGAGGAGGAGGAGGAGGAGGAGGAGAAGGAGGAGGAGGAGGAGGGGGAGGAGGAGGAGGAGGAAGAGGAAGAGGAAAAGGAGGCGGAGGCGGAGGCGGAGGAGGAGGAGAAGAAAAGGAGGAGGAGGAGGAGGAGGAGGAGGAGGAGGAGGAGGAGGAGGAGGAGAGTGAGGAGGAAGGTGAGGAGGAGGACGAAGAGGAGTCAACATGGGAACCCCATCTCAGGAGGGGAAACACCACACAGACACAATGAATCGTCGATCTCTCGAAGGACGTTCAAAACAATAGGGGAAGTGGGGGGGAAGACGAGAAACCCTGAAAATACAAGAAACCATTGGGAATGCTGAAATTTGTGTGCCCCTGGGCCCCTTCACTACCCTCCGCTCCTTACGATGGCTAGGGGTGGACGCCTGCTGCAGTCCTTCTCCGTAGCCTTCCCCCCCCCCCTCCTCCTTTACCTCCCCATCCTTCTTCCTCTCCCATTCCCCTTCCTTTTCCTTTCCCCCCCCCCTTCCTCCGCCTTCTCTTCATTCCCCTCTCTCTCATCATTTGCCTCATTATCATTCTGCTCCCCCTAGGTGGCGGTTCACTTTGTTCGACAGCCCTCGAGCGGAGAGACCCACCCCATTCGAAATCGTGGGGGGCGGGGGTAGGGTTCCCAAGCGGCCACCTATGAGGGCCAGTGGTCGGCGACGTCGTAGGAGGAAAAGGTACCGATAGCGCTGCGCTGGCGTCGTTACCCCCCTTTTCTCGCCCTCCTGGGAGGCGGTCGTCGCCACTGCTGGATTCTCCTCGGAGTCCTGGTCGGAGTGCACCCCGGGAGAGGTCCGGGGGTGACCCCACGTGGGGGGTGAAGCACAGGGCCTGCCACGAGCCCTGTCGGGCCCTTTGAGACCTTGCCGGCTCAAAACGGGGGGCCTCAAGGGCTTTTGTCAGAGACCCGAATCATCAGGGGTAACTCGGGTCAGGGCTAATTCGGCTTCGTTTTTCGGGAATCCGAACCCGAGTTGCCTTGGGCCCGAGTTACCCCGGATAACTCGGGCGTCCAGAGCCCCAAATCATCAGGGATAACTCGGGTCAGGGCTAACTCGGGTTCGTTGTTCGGGAATCCAAACCCGAGTTGCCCCGGGCCCGAGTTACCTCGGATAACTCGGGCGCCCAATTTTGGGGTTTTCTTCACCCTCCATTGGGGTCGCTCCTGTTACCACCCGCTCGACAGAGCAGGTCGGAGTTCGGCGTGCTCGACTGCGGCGGTAAGTGGACAGAGCCGACGTGTCCAGAGTGTGGGTCCGTCATGCTGTTGAGGAAGCGCATCCAGCCAGGAAGAGGCGCCGGAGGTTGTTTCTACTCTTGCGATGCCTGCAACACGTCGGTGAAGCCGGTTAACAGAAAGGATGCCGATAGACGCGCGAAACAGAAGAGTGTCGCGATTATGCTCCGCGATTACCAGAAGGTCGACGTGGAGAGAGTGAGAAAAGCTTTCCAGGATGACAACTGGGACATGGTGGTGCTGTCCATGGCCACGGGCGCGGGCAAGACCTCGGTCGCCAACGCGTACATTGCCCAGCATGAGGGGGAGTCGTTGGTCTGGTGGACAGCGCCTTCCTGCGAGCTCCTCGAGCAGGCCGAGATGAACATGCGAAGGCTCTCGCCCCGTCGCAACCGGTTTCGGTTGGGCCTCTGGAGTGTCATGCCCGACGTCGTGGAGCTGCCCAGGTCATACCATCAGGTCAGTCCCAGAGCCAGAACCGGGGCGACCGTCTACATGACGGAGCAGCTGCTCTTCCGGCGACTGGCGGAGCCTCGCCCCGAAGTGGGGAGCAGCGCTCGGGAGGGAGGTCTGGAGGCGATCCTTCCTCAGCTCCTCGTAGTGGACGAGAGCCACTGGGCGGGCCTTGCCAAGACGGGCATCGTGCTCCTGAAGTGGGCCCGGTTCCACGGCGTCCGCGTCCTGGGCCTCAGCGCCACGCCCAGGCCGCACCCAGCGCCGCTGCAGCCGATCATACACTCGGCCTCGCTGGTGCTCACCGCCCACCAAGCCACCCCGACCCAACCCGAGGGCCCCGATTTGCCCTCCATTTCCAGTTGGGGGAGGGTCGGGGAGCATTGAGGAAACACGTATGAAGCCCGTACCCCCCCCCCAACCCGAATTTCGGGTCCTCGGGTCGGGTTGGGGTGGTTTGGCAGGCCGTCAGGTGCAGCTGGCGAGCAGGGGCGTCCTTGCCTGGCCCCGGCTGTGGGCAGTCCGCAGGCGGCTCCGCGAGAGCCCGCTGCGCCCCGAGCTCGTGTTCGACATGCGGGACCACCAAGAGTTGAGTCGGACGTGTTCCTCTACTCTGTACGAACGAGATGGGCACGGAAAGAACGGGTACGATGCCCAACAGCAGTTCCTGTTCCTTTTGAACATGGCTCGCTGTCCGCGCCGCCGCGGCCTGTGTCCATTCGAGACAGAAGGCCGCCTGCCCAACAGCGGCCGCTGTTGGTTTGGGACAACATTTGTTGTTGGGCATTGTGCCCTTTCTTTCGGTACCCATTTCGGGTGTCCAAATCTACGGGAGGAATACTCAAAAAGTAGTGGATAAAACCATGATGGGGACGATTCTGGGGCATTTGTTTGCCATTTGGGGGTATGTGTTGGGTATCTTCATGTTTGGCCCAAGATCCGCCTGTAGGGGGACAGGCCCGACTTATACCGAGAGGGGCTCCCCGATGATCGTGTGCCTCCAGCCGAGCTGCCGCTCGATCTGGCAGAGGTCGTCGACGTGTACGAGAGGGGCGCGGAGACGTGGGGCAAGACCCTCGTGAAGGTCGCTCGGATCCAGGATCGGCGGCGCGCGAGGGGGGGGAAAGTGAGGAGGAGGAGGCCTTCTCAGAGGGTGGCAGGACTTCTCAGCAGCTCCTGCGCCTTCTGATAAGCTTTTTTCAGGAGGGGAACAAACACACAGACACAATTAATCGTCGATTCCCAAGAAAATATTGGAAAATATGGGATTTGGGGGGGAAGACAAAAACCCAGGAAATATAGGAACATATGGGGAATAATTTTATGCGTGTGTATTTATTTGTGTCCCAGGGCCCCTTTATTTTTGGTCTTCGGGGAAGGCTTCGGAGTCTTCGCAGAAGGCCGGGGGAGGTCCGAGACTCCTGAGAAGGCCCGCCCCGTCTCACTTGCCCCCCTCGCTCGCCGCCGACAGGAGGCAGTGGACCTGGTCACGTTGTGCAAGCAGCGGGGCCTTCGAGCCGAAGCGGTCACCACCCGCACCGACCCTGCAAGCAGGGGAGGCATCATAAGACGTTTCGGTGGCGACGCACTGGATATCTTGGTGGTCGTCGGTATCGGCACGTTTGGCCTCGACGTGCCTGCGCTGAGGACCATATTTATCACCACTGGCATGAACACGCCCATCGGGTACCTGCAGCTGATCGGCCGGGGATCGCGAAGGTCTCGAATGGGACGTAAAAAGTTGGCCCTCGTTTCGGTGGGCCCTTGCAACCAACCTGTGCCAAACTCGCGCACAGATGAGCAACGCCGACAAGTGTGGTCGACTGCAAGGACATTCGCACGTAAGCTGGCTGCCCCGTAAGGTCGCGCGTGGGCGCCCTCTCTTTCCGCATGTTTTAAGGCGGGGCAGAAGCACACAGGCGCAACTCATCGTCGATTCCGAGAAGATGTGGGAAACATGGGAAGTGGAGGGGGGGAAGAAGAAAACCAAGATAATACAGGAAAACATGGGGAGTCCTGCTATTTGTGTGTAGGTGTAGGTGTAGGTGTAGGTGTAGGTGTAGGTGTAGGTGTAGGTGTAGGTGTAGGTGTAGGTGTAGGGGTGTGTGTGTGTGTGTGTGTGTGTGTGTGTGTGTCCCAGGGCCCCTTCAAACTGTTGTGCCGCGGTGGCGGCCTCCGCGTGCCGTCGCGTAACGTCGCCGTGTCCTCGGGCGTGAAAAGGCCCACATCTGCTGCTCAGATAGAGAGAGAGTGCAGCGGGAAGTGGCCGCCTGGCATGGTCTGACAGAGCCGTTTTCCACCATCACCATAAGTTGGAGGGGAAGGGGGTCCACCACCTCTCCCTCCTCTTCCTCCTCCTCCTCCTCGTCCCCCTCCTCGTCCTCCTCCTCCTCCTCGTCCTCCTCCTCGTCCTCCTCCTCGTCCTCCTCCTCCTCCTCCTCCTCCTCCTCCTCCTTAAGGGGGATAGGGAAAGGGGGACAGGGTTCGGGTCGGACGAAAGGGGGGATGGGGAAAGGAGGAGTACGAAATCTACTGCATGCAGCTGGTTTCGGCCCCGACGCCAGGCCCATTCCTCGATACGTTGCTGCCTCCGGCACCGGGAGGAGCCTGGAAAATCAGCTGCGTGAGCTGATTCTAAAACCCCCCCTTTGCTATCCCCCCCTTCCGCCCGAGGGGGCGAAGGCAAGGCTGACATTTCCCCTCCGATTCCAGTCTCGAGTGAGCCAGAACTCCGGTTCGCCGACGCTTTTTTGCGAGCGACTCCTGGATTTTGACGGTTCAGTTTCCGTGGGATGTTTGCAGCGGGAGATCGCGCCAATTTTAAGATGGGTTCTCGCCATTTGTATGGTGGCCCTGTCAGGCCAACCCGAGCCCCCCGTACCCGAGGTTGTTCTGGCCCTGCCGTGGGCCAAGGAACCTCTGGGGTTGAACACAAAAGTAGGGTGAGCGGCTTGAATAAGGAATATTGTTTTTCAAAAGGGGCTCGGTCGTTCCTTAGGTTTGCATGCGTTGTTTACCCTTCCTTATGCGTTCTGTATTACATATCGTTCCTTGGGCGTTATTCCTAGGAGGAAAAAATGGGCATCGCTCCTTATTCATCGTTCCTTAGGTCAGGCCCATGCCTGTACGTCTCCCCGATCCCAGGGATGGGGACGTCGACCACTTCAACGTGGTCGAGCTCCACCCCGGCTTGGCGAGGATGCGGCGCGAGCTGTGGGCTGTGCCCCCGGCCACAGGCCCTGATGCTCGGTATCGCTTAACCGGTCCCCATCCCCATCCCCATCGCCATCCCTTTCGAGACCCCCACCAAATCACCCCCCCAGTTGGGGATACGCCCCTCGAAACCCGAAGGGAACGGCCTATGTCCCCGTCGGGAAGGAGGAGGAGGAGGAGGAGGAGGAGGAGGAGGAAGAGGAGGAGGAGGAGGAGGAGGAAGAGGAGGAGGAGGAGGAGGAGGAGGGGGAGGAAGAGGAGGAGGAGGAAGAGGAGGAGGCGAAGGAGGACAAAAAGGAGGAGGGCCAGTGGGGCTCAGGCCATGCCGCTGTGGCCGGGGATCGGCCAAACGGTACTCAACAGGCCCGGATGCGCCCCTGGCCACGCCGGCCCGCTTTCTCCGCTTCCGGCCCCCGCCCCGCCCGCCGCCCGGGGGCGCCGCTGGGTGGGCGGAGCACGCCGTCCTCGGGGGGAACGAAAGATGACTTGAGCAGGGACCGACCGTGATGTTACCAGCCTCGAACGTATCCCCCTATCCCTAAGATTGACACGCCAAAAGGCGATGACAATCTTAGGGATCCGCCCTCAAAAAATAAGGGAATCCCTAAGATTGACATCGTGATGAGGAGGTGCCCAGCATAGGGATAGGGATATGTTCCAGGCTGGTAATGATGGGCCTGTTTTCCACCACCACCATAATCGGGGGTGGACAGATCCCCCAACAGTGGCACGTCGATGAGTGAATTGTCCATTTTCGGTTCTCGAGAGGGCGCCGTGGCCGTTATTTTCCAGGCTTGCGCCCGCCAGGTTTGGGCCTCACGTCGTTTTCACTAAACCACGTTTTACTTAAGGGGGGTCTGTCCATCCCCGACATAAGTTGGAGGGGGGACGGATGTGGAGGAGGAGGAGGAGGAGGAGGACCCCCTCCAACTTATGGTGATGGTGGTGGAAAACAGGTCCATCAGACCGTCCCAGCATTCCTATAGGCCTACCACTAAATGTTCGTAGAACCCAGAAGATCTCTAAGAACAAAAATCAATGTTCTTATCGCCGAGCGCGTTCCACTGCTCGCAAAGTGCCTGCTCGGAAACGTCCGACAAGCACCTGTCTGCTTTCGATGTCATTTATCGCAGATCCCCCGCGACGGATCCCGGCCATTTGCGAGTAGCTAATTTGCGAGTAGGCGAACGCGCTCCTCTATCTTGGAGCATAAGCCCGACGATGTGTTAAAACACGACAGTCTCAGCAGGACATGTTCTAAGAGCATTTCTGCAATCCACAAAAGGTTCTTGGAACATTCTTTGGTGGGCCTATAGGCAAGCCAGGACGTTTCGCCACTGCTCGGATGACATACACATAAGAACTCGGAGGTCCGCGCGGATTTCTTGGATCCGCGCTGGACCCCCCAGGGGAGGCGCCGAAGGCGCCGCCAGGGGGCCCCAGCGCCGATGCGAGGAATCCGCGCGGACCCTCGAAATGTTGTGTTCATGTCATTGTTGGTTCCCCTGCTCCTGCCACGCCTCTGCCTGGAGCAGGCGTGAGGAGCGCGGCTCGTGCAGTCGGAGCGCCGCGCCTGACCTGCCCGCACGCGGTCGACGGCAGCCATGCGCGCAGGACTTGCGTCCAGATCCGCTTCGGCTCGGAGTCTCGAGCCCTCTCCCCCAGGAGCCCGAGGCGCACCGGCTACGGATTATGATGTTCCAACCTACTTTTTTTATCCTTGATCACCAGGAAGAAGCTCGAGCAACAAAAAAGTACCGAAATTCTATGGTTTTCACGCGCCGGGCCCTGGGAGACACTCGGCCGTTATTGTTTCGACACTCTTTCGACACGCTTTCGACAAGTTTCTGGGTGCTGTTAATTTTTTGGGTATGTGATCCTTAAGTACGGTGGGAGCAACATAAGCTATGCATCAAGTTCTGGCCCCCAGAGGCTCCTTGTTTTTACCATACCCTTTTTGCGCCCTCTGTGCTGGGGCGCCCTCTGCGAGAGAGTCCAAGATACATGTGATGTGGATATGCGTCGCCTGGTGGTGCTATCCTGGTGTGGTGCCTGGTGTGGGGGTTCCTGGAGGACTGGACCTTTTCCCCGGGGTTGGCTGCCCTTCCAGTGTCGTTCTGTCGGCGGTCACAGGGCCCCCAAAGCGTTCGTCGTGATCAAATCGAGGTGCATGTGCGTATCCATGTGGATAGGTTTGCCAGCGTGGACCCCGAAAAGTGTGTTATTGCACTAAAGATTTGCAGGCATTGTGCTGCAAGCAATACAGTATCGGAACGCGAGCTATCTGGTGCAAGCTGCATGTTGCAAGCTGTGGGGTGCCAGTTATGTGTTGCAAGCTATGGGGTGCAAGCTCCGTTGTGTAAAGTATGCGTTGCAAGCTATGAGACGCAAACTATATGGTGGAAGCAATGCAGTCACATGCATGTAGTGCATTCGTTGTGGTGTAAGCTGTGCGATGTGAGCTATGTGGTGTAAGCTATGTCATGTAAGGCATATGGCGAACACGATGTAGTGCAAGCTATGTAGTGCAGGCTATGCGGTGCAAATGGTTTGCCTGCGCGCATTTGTTGAAATCCGATGAACACCATACACATTGAGCAAACTCGTCCATATCCCACATTCCCATTTCGACTTCACCACGTTCTGCATCTGCGTTGATCTAGCATGCGCGCCCAATGCACGAACCTGTTCCGAATAACACCATACTGAACATGCGCGCGCGGCAACGCGCGTGTCGAAATCCCTCCAACAACCACAGGGCGGCGAAGCATGCCAAA